CACATCTTGTTTTGGTCTACAGACCAAAAGAAGACAGTCTACAGACAGCGCTCAATAGCCTAGTGGTCAAATTCTGCTTATTGCTTCTTTGGAAGAAGTAGTAAGAAGTAGATAATTTTGAACAGAAAACAGCATTTTTTCAAAGGATATTTTCTAAACGTTTCTATATCTGATATACAAGCCTGATCATATTCTAATCAACTGAATACAGAGATATAAAGAGCTGTACAAAAGTATTGATGTGTCTTAAAATTTTGTGGTAGTTGTATCATACTTGTAAGGGGGCTTTACTTTAATAGGAACAGGAAAAGGTGGGTAGAGTCCATGGAGCAGAATATGGGGCAGCTTTGAAAACCAACCTACTAAATTCTGCAAAAGAGGACTGAGAAGTAAGATGACGTTAAAAATACAGACAGATCTAAAGTTCAGTGTGTATTGATGTGATAGATCGGCCTAAACAAAGTCTACACTTACACCTCATTACTGGCTACATTTTGAAAATTTTGGTTTACCAATGCTTCCAGATTATCAAATTTTATAATCACTTGATTTCTAATGGATATCTTTTCAAATGTGTCTCAGTGTAATTTTGGTTTGATCAAGAGACTGATTTTAGTTTCTCAACCAAAAAACTTCCCCATTTCTAAGGGGTGAAAAATTTCTTCTGTTTGAATTTGTAGGTTTTTAAGCCAAAAAAGGCTCTATTTTGGGCTACTCTACTGTATAAAGCGCGGACCTTAACACTTATTCTGACATTTTGTATTAAAAAAGCTTCCTGGATGGGAAGTGAAATGTCTTCAAACTTGGAAACAAAGTCCAGTGGATTGTTTTTTTTATAATTTTTTTTTTTTTTTTTGTAATTCTCAACCAAATATTTTACTTATTTGAGTTATTCTCAACCTAAAATTTTTACTTTAAATCTAATATTTGAGGGTTTTAACAATGGCAACAATGGAGTCAGGTTCTGAATGAGGTTAGAAAGTTCAAAACTTTCCATCGTTTTTAACACTCTTGATTAAAAACAGCAAGACAGAAATAAGAAGAAAACAAACGCTTTGACACAAAATATTTTAACCTCTTGAGATTTTAAATGGAGAAGTGCTTTCCCTCATTGCAACTCTTTAGATCTTTCTCCTACACAAACTGTCCCTGACTTATGCTTCCAGACTGAGAAGATGACAAAAAAAGAATTGACTCTGGGGTGAAGCCTATTCATGCAAGAGCAATTGTACTGTTATGTTCCTGGTGTTCCTGCAAAACATAAAACAGCCAAAAACTCATTGGTTCCTTTTTTCTCTTCATCATTCAGTCACTGCCTTGTAACTTTGCCCCCTTTCACTTGCGGAGGAGGTCTAGAATGCATCATACAATGTGCACAAAAAAATATTGAAAGGGAGGAAAGTGAAGGTTCAGGAGCAGAGAAACCGAGAGAAACTCAAAGCTACAATACTTGGTCTCATGGTCAAGGCAAAACAATATCAAAGGAACCTGTGTTTTTAGGCTGTCTGTTTAGTCCTCCTCTGCGTCAATACATATTTCATTGGCTCTCAACAAAGCGAAGCAGGAGCATATTCTATCACAAAAGCCTCTGAACATGGTCCCACATGGACTCTGGACAACACGCATGCATGCGCGCTTGCTCACACACACACACACACACAAACACAAAGCAGTTGAATTGTCTCAATACATGGTTGAAGTGTAACAAGTCCAGCTCATGCCCTTAGGTGAGAGAAGGAAAAGCAAGAGGACCCTCAATTGTCTCTCCGAGGAGAGGAAGCCTTTTGGAGAAAAAACGGAATCAAAGAGATGGCAATACAAAGCACAAGTTTTTCACATAGCCTTTTTGCTGCTACTTTCTGCATCATGTCCAAGATGATTTGTGAGTTTAAAGTTTTGTTTTAATGAATCCGAGCAGTGTTCGGTTTGTTGAGAAGAGATTGGGTGGTTCAGCTTGGTTTCACTTCAACATCTCTTTGAGTTACTCATATTCCCTATCCTTATACTGCATGCAGAAGAAGAACGCAGAAAACCTTTTTTTTTACCTGATCCCTACAGTGGCCCGGATGGATTAAGAAACACACTAGGAGCAAAATGGGATTCTGTATGTCTAAATAACAAAAGTTATTTGTGTATATGATTGGTAGAAGGTGGAAATGGATCTAATGCATTCTCACTCTGTCCTCTTTTCAAGGATTCCAACTTTTAATTCTCAGATGTACTGCAGGAATTGTTTCTATTCTATTCTATTCTATACTGCAGGAATTGTTGGAAAGTTGGAACTTTGTTGCGAGTAATTTTGCCCTCCAGCTCCTGTGGGGGAAACCATGGTATACCAAGGCCAGGCGAGAAACATAGACTTACCCTGGGCCTACTTCTGCTGGGACATGCCTGAGAACCTCTGGAAGGAGGCGTCCAGGGTGCATCTTAAAGAGATGTAAAAGTCACACTAGCTGACTCCTCTTGAGGTCGAGAAAAAGCATTCCTACTCTGAAACTCTCCTGGATGGCCGAGCTCCTCACACTATCACTAAGGGAGTGTCTGACCACCTTGCAAAGGAAATTAATTTTAGCCACTTGCTTCCAGGATTTTGTTGTTTTGGTCATGACCCAAATTTCATGGCCATACAGTAGGTGAGTGTAGTAATCTAGATTGACTGCTAAATGGAGAGCTTTGCTTATTGGCTCTGTTCTTTTCACCACAAAAGACGATGATGCAGAGTTCATGTTACAGTGCCAATGATTTCCTACTCCATTTGCCACTCACAGCAAGACCCCAAGATACTTGAACCTAATCACTTAGGGCATGAGTCCTTCTGAAGAGGGAAACCCATTCTGGTCAAGAACTATGGATACCAAACCTCATTGTGTAGTCAATAAATCACTGTTATATAACATTTAAACCCTTCTTCTAAATGTAGATACACTTGTTACCCCGATTGTATTCTTAAGATTTATTTTGGCTTACAATCTCTGAGTCATTTAAGGTTGGGCGCTGACCTAATTTCACAAAAAAGAAATAAAAAAAGAAATCTCTTGTCAGATCCTCAAATTCATGATACGACTTCTAACCCAGCCTTGCAAAAAGACCCGTGTTTGCAAAATTTAAGATTTCTTTAAACCAAATCTGGCAGGACTATTGTTACTTTTTTAGATTTATTTCATAATCAGATGTAGGATACAAATGAGCAAATGTCAGCGAAAGCAGTATAATTAATAGCAGATGTGAATTTAAGAAAGAATTTGTCAAGTAGAGCGATTCATACGGACCCAAACTGCAACCAAAACAGTCATATGATGGAGATTGTATGATTTAATGATAAGGAAATTTATATCCTTCAGGACATGGAGGAAATAAGCATGGAAACCAGGGCTGGAACAAGACAATAAGCTAGCAGAGGATGAAGAAAGAGATATGGAAAAACAGATTTACAGAAATAACCCAAAGTACAAAAAAATCTGATGGGTGATTTTGTAAGCTAACTCTATTTTTGATTACTTGTAATATTTAGGTTGTTTTTTGAGATCAAGGTATGATCATTGTTACTTTTGATTAGGACCTTTAATTTAAATCGCATATCAAAAAGGTTGATATCATTTCCTTATTTCATCTCTGGAATATTGCAAAAACTAGAAATATCCTGTCCAGGGTGATTGATGCTGAGGAACTAGTCCATGCATTTGCTACTTCAAGGCTGGACTATTGTAGTTCTTTACTATCAGGAAGTCCACAAACTGTAGTTAAAAGCCTTCAATGCTGCAGCCAGGGTTCTGATGAAAATTAAAAAGAGAGATCATATTTCTCCTATCTTGGGTTCTCTTCATTGGCTTCCTTTTAAATGCAGAGTAGAATAAACCCACCTTCTGACATCTAAAGCCCTTAATAACAAATACAAGTGGTGCAGGAGTCTGGTTCAAATTGCAGGCAGAAATTCTGACCAGTTTCCAAGGGGTCTGATTTTGGGACCAGTGGATTTCATCTCTGCTTTTTACAGATGATGTGGTTCAACTGACTCCCCTCTGCCAAGACATGCAGTAGGTACTGGGACAGGTCACAGCTGAGCTTGAAGCTGCTGCTAAAAAGATCAGCTCCTTTAAGTCCTAGGCCATGGTTCTCTGACAGAAAAGGGTGGGTTGCACTATTCAGGTCAGAGGAGAGGTCCTTCCTCAAGTGGTAGAGTTCACTTATTTCAGATCCTGTTCACAGTACTGCTCTCCTTCATATCGAGAGCAAGAGTGAAGGTAGCTAGGACGTTTGTCTTGGATACTCTCGGGATGCCTCCTTTTGGAGGTGTTGCAGGCCAGTCTCACCTGGAGGAGGCCCAGGGACCAGCCCAAGAGTTGCTGGAGGAATTATGTCTGTTATGTGGCGTCTAGGGCTTCCTCAGGAGGAGGATGAGGAAGTGCTAAGGAGAGGAACGTCTGGGAATCTGCTGTGACTAATTGCCACCACAAAGTGTTCCTTAATTAGCAGAATATATCTTTATATCTATACATATAGATATTAGTCTATCCATATACACATATGAATATATATAACTCACATACTGGAAATACAATAAGTTTTTTAATAAATTTTTAATCTTTGTAAATAACTATAAATCTTGGGATATTAGCTACCTGTCAAAAAAAAAGAAACTGCCATTAAGTCCTCAAATATTAAGAAGGAATAATTTGTGTTTTATAAAAAATATATAATATAATATAAAAAAATCTGTCAAAGCTTTCCCTTTTAACCGATCCATGCCAGCGATGTCTTCATCATTTCTGCATTCAGGGATTTTATTTTTCCTTTTTCTACCCAACCCCGC